AATCTCACTAGAAGCACACGCTTATTTGTCTCAATCCAAGTTTTACCTTAATTTCTGTTAGATATTTTTTAAGCTCTCTCAAAGTTTTGAGAAGATATTTCCTAGAGGGACATAACCTTCTTTATGCCGCCATTTGGGATTTTGAGGGAGTTCCCACACTTTTGCCTAAAAACATCTTAACCTGCCGTGAGAAAGAAGTCTATTCTAAATAATTTTGGAAATTGAAAGTTTTGATTAGTTGGTTTGGTGGGTTGTCCAAAAAAGGAAATTTGGAAGTCATTTTTTTATATTTGACCCCCTTTGAGTTGTTGAGGGTATTTTACTCCATTTTTCCATTCTATACCATGGAATTTTTTGGAATGGCCCTATATGGCCCTATTATTTTGTTTCCCTCTGGAATCCGCTTTGAAGAGAGTCCGCTATAATATCCGAGTCATTTTCTTGTGCGATTGCCCCGTAAGCGAAATTTGGTGCATGACCCCTATGTAAAACACTTAACAAAGTGAAAATTCTGTTAGTATAACCAGTTAGCTGTGAAATATCCTTAATAGAATGCATTAATCTAGATCCGGCATCCGCTAGCGATAACATTAGCCTTTTATTTACAATGAATTCTTTCCATATTTGATTCTTCTGAGTTTACTCCCGAGGCAATAGTAGTGATGACAATTGGAATTGAAGCAAAAATATAACCTAAACCAGACCAAGTATATTTCAAAATGTAATCTTCAAGCATATTATAACCGAATTTGCTTCTATCCATTAACAACATTCTTTCCATTAGGACATTATATAAATTTTTAACTTTTCTTAATTCTACTTTAGTACCTTGGTAGAATGCTATTTCTTCACTATTATTAATCAGATTTAGATGATAATTGTAATAATTACCATCAGCTGCTGATGTGGCACTAGATAATTTACCCAATGGTGGAGTAAATGACTTTAACAAATAAGCAGTGAAGAAATAATTGACAAATATACCTGTGACACCCATTGAACCTATATTATCCCTTAAATAAATTGAGAAAAAGATTAAATCAATTACAGGCTTTGCAATATTTGCAAAAACTGAAGTTGTAGCATCACAAAATTTAGTGATATCATTTGTTATTGAATTGTCAATATTTTTAATTACAGAAGAATTTGATTTAATGTCGAACATTAATTTGTAAAAAGATAATTTTTTATCCAAATACATGTCATGGATATATCTTGTCAAGTTTACTCTGAAATTCAAACTCAATTTTCTTTGCAAAAATTTAATTGCACTATTAGTATACGAAGCAGGGAATGCAATCAAAAACCAAAAACCTATATCTAATAAAAATTTTTTTGATCTTCCTGATATAATATCTTTAACAATTTGACCATCCAATCTTGCTACAAACAAAGATAGATAAGTTCTCATGATAAGAAAGAAGATTTGTAAGATCAATAAAGCCAAATTTTTATCAAGGAAGCTTGGTATTAAAATCCTTGATAAGACACTCAACTGATTGATAAATTTCGAATAAAAAATCTGTGAGGTTTTCAATTTTTCTAATTCAACATTTTTGAAAAGATATTTATCATGTGCATAAGTGTCGTTATCCATTGGCGGTATAAAGACCTTTTTAAATTTTTGATTTCTGCCATCAATTTGGTTCATCTCTAAATTGTCTTTTTTATTTCTATTAAACAGAGATAAATTTTTTCTAGATAAAACACCTATTCTGTCATTTTCGTTATTATTATTATCGTTATCATTATTTCTATTTGTAATGCTTTCATTATTTCTCAAATTTTTTCTCCATGCATTCCCCCCAATAACACCAATATCTGCAGAATTATCTTCAGGTATATATAAAACCCTTGCTCCGGAAGATAATTGCATCTGCGACCTTGTTCTTCTCAATATAGGTCTACCATTTTTTGTTAATATATTTTCTCTTGAATTTTTAATAAAAGTTGTAAATTTTGATAAAAATTTATATAAAGTGAAAATAATAGAGCCAGATAAAGTGAAGGAAGAAAAAATCAATGATATGAATATTATGATAGCTCTATTTCTCATTAAAGGATCTGCAGTTGGATTTTTAATCAATGAGATTAAATGAAACACCAAATGTTTCAAATATGATCTAAAGTTTTCATTTCCGATATTTAATCCAATGCAGCCTCTATGTAAATTTACGACTAAATGTCTTAGCTTATTTCTAGTTTCAGACATAGTTTGTTTATGCGACAAAGCATTATATTATTGTATGTTAGGCAATAACTCAACTTAATCAGTAGAGTGTCAATAGAATCACAACAACAATAACCACAAAGGCAATTGTAGTTAGTTGAGATGTTTATATATATATATATATATATATGCTCTTGTAAAAGTGTGATATTATTAAATAGTTAGGGTGATATATTTCATTAAAGTATTATGAAGATAGTATTGATTTAGTGTAATTGAATGACCTGCCCCTTTTTATACTTGATGGAAGAGAGATAGCATGGGGATGGGGATGGGGGCAGGGTTATAGCAGCACGGAAGGAGAAGTAGAAGTAGAAGTAGAAGTAGAAGTAGAAGTAGAACGGAACCACAAAAACCTCTCTGAAATAACATAACATAACTAAGTTGTCCCAAGATATTTAACTCCGAAAGAGAAACTTCAGTAGCAAAGAGACACCGAGTGTCACAATACCAAAGAGAGAGCAGCACCATACACACGAACTATAACCACCTGAACCAACCATATGGCTTAAGACCCGTCATTTTTTAGGGGTACACGCAACAGGTCTTGGAGGAGAGGCACCCCTAATTAGGAAATACAGAGAAAACACTAAAAAAAAGTAGAAAAAAGAAAAGAAAGACATTGCCAAAATGTGCAAAATGACTGAATGACTTGACCAGACCAAAGGAAGCGCGGAGGGGAGGGGAGGTATAAACCCAGCTCACTGGTGGAGAAACAGCTGGGGAAGAGGAGTCAGAGAAATCAGAGAAATCAGAGCAAAGGCCCTTCCGAAATAGGAAAGTGGTGACTTATTTTCTTCCTCTTCTTCTTTCTTTTACCCCAATTTTATTAATTTTCAATTCTTTATCTCATCCCTCCTCTGCTCTCTGCTCTCGCTAGATCGTCCCGGCCAGTTCTCTTCATAATATGCTATGTATTTCGTGCAAGAGAATAAAATAGTATAGTATGGTATAGAATTGAACATACATTGCACACACACGAGCTATTACCTCTGTGCATGTGACCTTATCTTTCCTCGCTCTCCCTTCTCTGTCGACAATGAATACATTCCATGTTAAGAACGATTAGTTAACGATATTTTGCTATCTCAGATACTCCCTTCCTCTCTCGGGTTTTCTCTTTTTCTCTTTTTCTCTTTTTCTCTTTGTTTTAGCCGCCAACAATCGTGACGGAGTTTAACCTATTCAACACATAGCACGGCCAGATATATTCTAGATTGCACGGATATAAAATATAAACTTTCCATTTTTGTCTCACTCCCACCCCCACTCTCAACTCGTACCTGCAAAAATTGGTATCAAGCACCCCACTGAATGCAATAATCCATGTGCATGTGACCAACACACTCTTATCTTTTCCATTCCTACTCCCCCCCAACTCCCCGAAACTGTAGAAAATCACAAATCGAAAATAATCAAATAAGCCGGTCCATACCACGTGATCAGATGGATATCTCTGATGGCTTTTTTTTCTTTTTCTTTTTCTTTTTCTTTTTCTTTTTCTTTTTCTTTTTCTTTTTCTTTTCTCTCTCTCTCTCGCTCTCTCCGGCTCTTTCTCATATTTTTCTGTTTTATCAAATTTCGACCATATTTCATCTCATCCGCGATGATGTTGACATGAAATTTTTACAGTTGTTAACACTAATTAACATACACATTTATGTTAATTAACCATATATATCTATATCTATCTATCTATCTATCTATCTATCTATCTATCTATCTATCTATCTATCTATCTATCTATATATATATATAGAGAGAGAGACTGAATTAGATAGTGATAGTGTCCTATACGTTATAGATAGACGAAGTATCATTGATCTGTATACTGGGTGTCTACAATTACAGCTATAGATCTCCACGAAATGTCGGTTGCTGACTTGATTAAAAAATTTGAAGATATTTCAAAATCTGGATCCCAGGATTCATTGGTCAGTGCTACTGCTAAATCTCTAGAAATGGAACAAGACCTTGAAGTTGAACAAGATCTTGAAGCCGAACAAGAGGAATCAATTGAGCAAGAGGTAGAAGATGAACCAGCACTTGAGGCTGAACCAGCAGTAGAAGCTGAGCCAGAAACAGCAGAAGCCGAACAGCAGCAAGAAAAGGAGGAAGAAGAACAAGTAAATCTGGAATCAGAAACTGAACAAGATTCCCAATCAAAAAATAAAAAGAAAAAGAAGAACAAAAACAAAAACAAGAAAAAGAAGAAGAATAACTCCAATGATGAAAATTTAGAAAATGTTAAAGATTTAGAAACTATAGATGATAATGATGGAAACCTTAGGCATCCCTAATCAAGAAAATAACATCGAAAACCATCATACTAAAGAAGAATTAAATGCAATGACTCAAGACGTTCAAGAAGAAATAATTGAATCAATTGCTCATGATAATTCACAAAATGAAAATAATTCAAGATTAGGACGTGATGACCCTTTCGAATTCGGTAAACGTACTTTAACTGAAGAATCCGACGTTTGGGATCATAACGCTTGGGATAATGTCGAATGGGGTGAAGACCAAATTAAATTTGCAGAAGAAAAAATTAAATTACAACAAGATGCTCCAGTTCAAGATTTTGACAAAAAATTATTTAACGAAAGTCCAGCAAGATATTGGGATATCTTCTACAAAAATAATAAGGAAAATTTCTTCAAAGATAGAAAGTGGTTACAAATCGAATTCCCAAGTTTGTACAGTTCTACTAAAAAAGATGCAGGTCCTGTGACGATTTTTGAAATTGGTTGTGGGGCTGGTAATACTTTCTTCCCAATCTTAAATGAAAATGAAAATGAACATTTGAAAATTATAGCAGCCGATTTCTCTCCAAGAGCTGTAGAATTAGTCAAAACTTCAGAACAATTTAATCCAAAATATGGCCATGCTGCCGTTTGGGATTTAGCCAATCCAGAAGGTAAATTGCCTGATGGTGTAGAGCCACATTCTGTTGATATTGCAGTAATGATTTTTGTTTTTAGTGCTTTATCTCCATCTCAATGGGAACAAGCAATGGATAACCTGTATAAAGTTCTAAAACCAGGCGGTAGAATTTTGTTTAGAGATTATGGTCGTTATGATTTAGCACAAATCAGATTTAAGAAAAATAGGTTACTAGATGATAACTTTTATGTAAGAGGTGATGGTACTAGAGTATACTTCTTTACAGAAGAAGAGTTAAGAGATATCTTTACGAAGAAATATTTCGTGGAAAACAAAATTGGTACCGATAGAAGATTGCTTGTTAACAGAAAGAGACAATTAAAAATGTACCGTTGCTGGCTACAAGCAGTATTCGAAGTTCCAAATTAAGACTATATTTAAGACACTAATCACACTATCAGTATACCCAAGTATTAATTGTATTTCTACTCAAGCAGCATTAGTAATAATTTCATTGAATAAATCTATATATGTATAAGTATAAAATATATTACTAAACTTTATTACGTTTCATTTCATCATCAGTAACCATACATATTGACAGATGTAAAAATGCATCACAACTTAAAAATCTTTCATATAATGCAAAAAGTGGCATGTCAAAAGGAATTTCTATTCCGTGAGAGACCACTTTAGCTATAGGTGTTTCATCAACACTAAATATATCTGGTAATTCCGTCATTAACATATCTTTCAAAGTTTGTGGGTTCCCACTGTCATCCTCAAATTTACAAATTGGCTGTATAATTTGTATCTCAGGAAATGTGAGATGAATCATTAATGGTATATGCCTTGGTTTTGAAGGAATAATCTTTAATGCAATTTTATAAAATGTAATATAATCCCTCATTAAAATGCTTTTCCAAAATTGTTGAGAGTGAACTAATGATAAAGACATTACTTGCTTTGATGTGCCGTTTAAAACAAAGCATGCTTGTTTCCACTGGTGCATCCAATATTTCTGAATTTGATTTACTCTATCTACAATTGGAATCATGCCTGATGGATATTCTTTACTATAATTTAATTGTAATTTCCAAATATTCATCATAGAATTACACTGCTTCATTTGATCATATCTTATAGAGGGGTCAATGCCTACCATTGAGTCATATAAAGCACCGAATGGATAATTCCAATAAAGTGGAATTCCCTCATATGCGAACCAGAACATACCATCTAACTCTTCGAAATTAATATCAGTAATCAAAAACTTTCGGAGATCATTAAGTATTTCATCAATATAATTCATTAGATATGCATTCCTTGGTATCCTTAAGTTAACCGTAACATCCTTTTCATTTATACCTTTAACAAGTAATTGTGGATTAACTGCTATTTGCACATTTATTTTACCATCCCAAACTAACTTCCTTAACTCATCCATTTCTCACAGTTATAGTAAACCTTTTTAGATCGATGATTGGTTCTTTAACTCCAAAGTGCTATCATTAACATTACTATTATCATTACCATTGAATCAAGCAATAGTTACCTTTAATACCATTTTGTTCTTTCCTTTGATATTATGGTAACCTTTATAATTTGAATAAGTTCGGACAATTATGGAATTAATACGTCATAGGTAATATTTATCAATAAAGTGCCTTTATGATAATGCTTTATCGTAAAATTGGTTATAATGTTTGAATTATTGCAATATTGTAATGATTGTAATTATTGATATAACAGGTAAATATTTTATCATGCATTTTTGTATGTAAGAATGCAAGATTTGGAGTAAAAAAGGTACTTAATGTTAAAGTCAAACAAGTTTGTCGTGATACTTTCATACAATTGCCCAATCTAAATCTTTGGTTAAAAGGATGGGATCTCAAACATCGGGTGCTTGCCCTAATTAATAATGATGAAACCAATTTTTGAACTTGGGATTCAATGCCAATCTTAATTGATTATTCAAAAACTCAAACCCTGTGGCCACTTGCGTCTGATATTAAAAACTGATCTTCCCGCCTTCATGTAATATAAAATTCCGGAAAGCATAAAGCCATAACCCTAAACATTTTTATAGGGG